TGTCAACGACACGGTTTTTGACGGCGGGTTAAGTGAACTATTGAGAAGAAGACGACTCAATTACTGAGACAATATATTTATTCGCCTTAAGTTTCGAGATCCATCGTGGATTCGCCATCAGAGACATAGTTAGATAGCTGTGGCAGATAGGGTAAGTGTATGCACGGGATCTGCATAACAATCTCCTTGTGTAATGATAACTTTTATATTAATTTACACTCAGATCTGCATTTTCGTCTAAAATACTTACTTGTTGATCAAATGTTCTTGTGTGCACGCTCTGCTGAACCTAAATGGATGCGTTGGTTGAATCGCAATTCTGCAATCGTTATCCGCACCCTTTGATAATTATTTGCAAAAAAATCAAAAGGCCCTACCTTAAATGGCATTGGTTTGTTTTTCTAGCTAAATGAGCGTTAGAGTTAGCGTTCTCTGACCACTCTTAAAATGAACAATGGCCTATTATTTTTCGCATTTTGAAAACGTGTTAGAATGCTTATATTTACTTACTGTTTTTTTTGTGAAAAATAACTTTATTCGCGAATTATTCTGCTATTTTAGTAAATTATTCTAAGTTCGGTGTTACATGCGCAAATCAAAACTTACAAATGTGGACCACTGTTCACTACCGAGAGCGTACGTAACGCAAAATCCTCACTAACATCCCAAAAGGAACATTTATTTTACAGCCTAGTGATAACATAAATAATGGCGAAAAGGATGGACATTTCTACTCTCCATATTCTTCAGTTTGGTTGGGCGGAAATACGTTCCGGACACAGACAATGGATTAATACTTGCAAATGTTTTGCAGGTCCACGTGCATGTTATTCAGCCATGGTTATTTCAGCATGCTAAATCAACCCACGTGACCTTGGGCGGTTCCGTTACCTTTAAAATACGCCAGAAGAAACTTTTTTTTCAACGTTATATATTTTTTCTGACCCATTGAGCCATATTAATAAAATGTGAATGCGGAAGTGCATGTCTTATTGGCGGACAATTTCCTCATTTAGAGGGAGCGAGTTAATTAGGCATCAAATATTACGGCCTTATAAATTGTTGGATATGCGTTGTGTATTGATTTTTACAAGCAAGCCATGACATAAACCGCCAAAAGAGTTTTTTATAGTTCTGGCATGTAGCGGTGCTCCAAATAAAAGCATAAAAAACACACCTAAGGACACTGACGACAACAAACATTTGAAGGCTTTTCTAAATCAGAATTTCTTCGAATGCAGACGCATGTGGCTCAAATGCCGAGAACATTAATTTCTTTGACGTGTTTTTTTAAAAACAAGCTTATTAGCAGTGTCATATGGGTAACTACGGCCTAACGCACGCCAGTTTAAAAATGCTCAACAAGTCTAACTGCATTACATGGTTTGCATATGGCAGTCTCTGTGCGGTGCTGGAAATTTCACGGTGTCGCAAAGGAACCTTCATAGATTAATGAAACGTGCGCTTTATAGTGGTTTCCAGTTGAGGATATTTACAGCCCACCGAAATACACACTATTTGGTTTTAATCATATGTGTGCAAAGAGGAATGCATTTTTATAAACTGAGTTAATTAAATCCTTAAACATTATTACGAAAATACAGGGTATCATTTTAGTTTAGCTTAAAAATTGCACACTGTACACTTTCCTAGTGCATTTTATTATTTTAGCAAAACAAAATGTTTGCGGCTTCGGTACAAACCAATTTTTCTCTATATTGTCCGAGAATTTTAAACTTTAATCATGCATTTAGACTTAAGCGTATGCCATCGAAGGAGATATTAGATACTTGGACCGCAATGGCCCTCCTAACTATATTTTGTTGTCAACCAACTGGACCCCAATGCGATTATACAGGTAAGCTGTGAATGAACATACCTTTTTTCTTAATAAGAATAGAGTACTTAGTTTTGTGTGATTTGTTGTCATAAAAAACAGCAACAGTTTTTACACGCCACAATCTCTATTCTGAAATAATTTTTATGTTTGCACTGAAGGGAGCATTTCACGTCTTCGCGTGGGCTCAAATGTGTTTTTGTACAGGCGTATATTTGCAATAATATAAACTATATACAGCATTTGCACGGCATTCTTCTGATCATTTATCTTGCTGCGGTTATGCCCAAGAATTAATAAAAAATAAAAAGGAATAGTGAAAAAAATATCAGCTTTTGTGGGTTAACCGTTTCACGCATATTTTGAAGTTAGTTCGTGAAAACACGTCTTATAGAAATGCAGCAGTAAGGCAATTTTCAAGATTTGTTTAATAGATAGATTTTTCCCTTTAACGAGAGTTCATCTATGCAAGGTATTAATTATATTGTCCTGGCTACCTGGTAACCAGCAACGTCCACGTTTACTGACAAAAAATGTGTAATGCTCTAGACGATAATTTGCCTTCACACATTGAAAATGCTACGTTACGAAATTGCATATAATTATATTGCCACCTGTCAGCCACAATCCAGGGTACCCAAACTGGACACAGATATAAAATGAAATTGTAACGCGTTAGAACAATTTAGGAAGCATTAGCGGCTAAATAAATACGCTACAGCATGGCGCAGTACTAAGCTGCGGATTTCTTTTTGCAATAAATAGAAAACTACGACCTTAATGGCATTCCATTTACATGCTTTTGATCTCCTCGGCAGTTCATGCATTCTAACTGATAGTTTCTTTCATCAGCATAATGATTTTTTTCTCTTTGTAGTATTTTATGCCATGATTTAACAGAGGATAGTTAATAAATAATTAGGTTTCTGGTA